GAATAACAATATAAGTACTAAATGAAAGAAAAAATTATGTAAAATTTTAAAAATTGGTTCACAAGGACGAATAGATATTGAAAGATCCATTTTAATTAATGTTACTTTAAGGCAATAAATTCAGAAGGACGAAATTCGAGGATGTAATCGAAGGTATATTAGTCCAAAACATATATTTTTTCAAAACTAATTATTGCAAAATTTCCAGGATATTCAAGGATAAAATTTTGAAGGATATTTTCAATACCTAAAGGTCCTTATGCGCCAATACATTTAATCGGCTTTAATTCGACAGAGTTTTCTTGTTAATTTGGTGCCCATATTGTGCTCCTACATTGCACTGAGTTTTTTTTAATAATTTTTTGAAGTAATAATATTTTTCAAATATCAAAGTCCGTTTATAATTATGGAATTATAATTCTTCCAATGTGTAGTTAAAGCTTTTTGATTGTTTACTACCTAATTATGTTGTACTAAAACTTTTGCAAATACATTATTTCAATACATCTATGAAATTTCTAACAATAAGTCTACCTCGTTTTGCATTTATTTGCAATATTTGAAGGAACTGCTGCTACACTCACGGATTTGAGAGCTTACATCACACATGACCATTTAATTGAGGAGTAATACATACAGCATAATAAAAACAACAACAAAAACAATAACACCATAACAACAACCAAGCAAAATAGACATACATAAATGCAAAAAAAAAAACACAAAATTGCAAACTTTTATACCACAAACTAAATTTTTTAATCCATAACACTAGATTAGTAAAAAGCAGCAGGCTTAAGCACTAAGCATGTAAATTGATTTAATTTAAAGACATAGAGCACGAAATCAAAATTAGACAAGCTAGCTTAAGCCAAAATATTAAAGTAAACTTAAATTTTAGCATTTTATAAATTTACAGAGGAAATTCAGCAAAGTGAATGTGAATTTTGAAAAAGTGAAAAAAAAATATATATCTAATATTTTTTCAAGCGTATATTAAAGTTAGTGCTACTAATCGCAGGCAAAGACTATGCAAAATTTGTTCTGTATAGCTGTTGTTTCTACACTGCTCACAGAAATGTAAGTAAGTAAGAAATTTTCCTAACGTTATTTTTCCAACAACGCTAGTTTTGCGCATTCTATTTTGGCTAAACAAAAATATACGCTGAATTTATCCAAAGCTTTTGTCGCTTCTTTTTTTTAACATACAGTGGTGGAAAAAATAATAGAAACAAAAAATGTTTACTAGTTTTGCAAATTCTTCTTTTGTTTATTTAATGTTTAGTACTTCTTTAAAAAATTCTAACTCATAACATAAATCAGCGTTTAAAAAGTTCTAAAAAAACTTTTATGAAATTTTTAATTTTTTAATCATTTAGATACATCAACATTTCAAACTCAACAAATTCTAAAATTTTAAAAATTTGTTTTGAAACTTTTTTATCACAGGTTTTAGGACTATATGCAATTTTTAAAGCACATAAATAAACATTTTAAACTTCATGTAGTAGATACTTACAAAAATTTTAAACATTTTTATTATACATTTTTTTTTTTTTTACTTTTTAATCAGAAGTTTCAGAAGAATTCTGTGTTGCAGTGTTGTAGCCCATTCAATTTTAATGTGCAAGTGTCAAGTGGCTTCAATATACCGTTGATTTTTCAGCACTTTTTCGCCGTTGGTGTTGCGAATTTTCTTCCATACAATGCCTGAACGAAATTTATTTCTATATGGGCAAAAGTGCTCAACACACTCGCCGAAAAAAATTCTCAAAATTTTACACTTTATTATACTAAAATTGAATGGGCTACAAAACTGAATACCCAGAATTTTTCTAAACCCTAAATTTTTAAAATTTCAAATCTTTTTGGTGAATTCTGCACAAAGTGTGAAATGTTGATTTATAAATATGCTGCGAAATTGCATATATTTCTAAGAACTCTGATTAAAAAGCGGAGAAATTTGATAAACAATTTTGAATATTTTTTGTGAATCATGTACAAAGTTTGAAATGTTGATTTATATGCTGCGAACTGCATATGTGGTATATTTCTACTAAAGTCTGATTAAAACGTTAAAAAATTTTACAACAAAATTTTAAAATTTCAAATTTTTTTTCGTGAATTCTGCACAAAGTTTTAAATGTTGATTTATAGGTTGCAAAACTGCCTCTGATTAAAAGGTTAAAAAATTGGAAAACAAATTTTTAAAACATGATTTTTTTTTATAATTTCCGCGCAAACTTTTAAAAGTGGTTTTATATGCTTGTTTTTTTGTTTTGAGTTAGGCTTTTATAAAAAAAAGTTATTAGAAACTAAATAAACGAAAAAAATAATCCAAAATTTCTCAACATTCTATTACTTTCTCCACCACTCTTTGTCTCTGCTACCGCTCGCAATTTTTCTTTCACTGCTAATGAATCGCACTTCGCCTCCGCTTCGACTCTGCGCTTGGCTTATATTAATATTGAATTTTGTTGTGCTGTCATTCAATTTTTTATACTTCATTCTGTACATAACAGTTAATTTATATTTATGCTTTTAATGCGTTCAAAATCCTTCAATCTATATTTATTTATGCTCATGTATGCCTTTGACCATGCATTTCCATCAATTTCATTTAATTTGACTGCAAATCGTGCAAGGACACTGGCCGTCAATCGGCCACAATCAATACTGGTTTTTCTGCTTAATATTACGTAGTAGATGCATACGAACGTGCTATGCGTAGATGTATGTATGTATGTCTTTGTTTATGTGACAGTTCAATCGCCTTGTTCATTTCGTTTGAGTTAGGCAATGTCAAATATGTCAAAACGTCCAGCGAGTGAGTTGTTCCGTGATTGTCAGCTTAAAAGCTTTGGCTCGCACCAAGGCGACCATATACATACATATAAGTTTTTATTTTTACGTATTTATGTGCTCAGATGCTAAAATATACGTTTTGGCAAAGCGTTTGCTTTCTGGAAGAACTTATTGATACATTTTTTCTTTGTTTATGTAAGCACGAGGAAATGCTTGCCAGGCTGACTGAAAGTTTAAAATTTGTATCAACCATTTTTTTTAACTAGCTATTTTATCCCGAAAACTTGGTTTGCCGTTTAAACCTTGTAATTTACGAATAAAACTGAAAAGATTTTTGGGGGACAAAGAGCTCAGAATGTTGGTCTTTCAACACATCGCTGCCAAATGCCTCATAGCTAATTCTTGCGAAGACGGCGCAGAAGCACAAAAAGTGTGCCACCGTCTCAACCTATTCAAGGCAGGATGGAGAAATGAAGTTGTCAAGTAGGGCTATCACAGTCAGGTGTTTGTGCCACGTGAAGTGACCAGTCAGCAGTCCAACAACTTGTCTGCAGACCCGTCTGCACAGTGAGCGGAAAAAACTTCCGAAATTAAATGCGTCATGAGTTTTGCCCACCTGCAGCCCCTCGATACGACCCAGTTATTGCTGAGCGAAGCATTCTCCCAGTTTCTGATGGTGCCTTAACTGGTTGCGGACCGAGGAATGCCTGGTCTGAGCCAACTCTGGCAAAATGATCAGATGTCTCATTACCAGGTACTCACGAGTGACCAGGCAACCCGAGTAAACCAAGCCACATAACGATGTAGACTAACATAATTTAGTCGAGACTTACATTGTCGAACTAGTTTGGAAGTAATTAGAGGGCTGGCTAATGCCGTAAGTGCACCTATTTTCCACCACGTAGTTCGTGACCTTGAAAATTGTGAATACCTTGGGAAGACCGAGGCATATTCCCCAAGAGAAAAGTGAATCTTCTCCATATTATCTTCGATAACGATACCAGAACCTCACCCACGGTCAGTTTTCGGGTCATCAGTGAACATTCGGCAATGCGTGAGTCCTAGATACTTCACTTCGGGAAAAGTCTGAATTTCGACTTCTTTATGTATGAGGCGAATGAGACCATAGGACCTCCGCCTTCTGGTGAAGATCATAAGCCAAGATTTTGTTGGGTTAGCGGTTAGCCCGTTTCTATTACACCAAGTGTCAATCATATTCAGTGATTCAGTGTTATCTGCGCATTCCCGAAAGCAGCCGGCATAGATAGGCTCATGACTAGAGCGGCCACATCGTTGGCATAGGCTTGAGAGTAGATATAAGAGTCATTAAGAGTGACAAGATGATCATCAGTTACCAGGCACCAGAGCAAAGGCGGAAGCACCCCACCCTGAAGGCAGCGTTTGCTAACTCCGCGCGTCACATATTGACCTCCTTCTGCCCAAATCCTAATGACCCCCCAGCATTGAACGGATCCCTGGTACTTCCTGCCGTAGGACAGAATTGCACATGCTATCAAAGGTGGTATTGTCAAAAGCACCTCCAATGCCTTAAAAAATTCCCAAGGCCAAAAAGGCCTTCCTTTTTAATAACACTACTAATTCTGGCAACCACACTTTTCAAAGCCATCTCACAGGATTTCCCCGCCTTAGAGGCATGTTGATGCAAGGACAGATGATGTGATCAAAGCACTCTCCTTCGAATGTATGTTTTATACCATATTTTAAGCACGTTTTAGCACTCCCTCAATAATATCAGCGGCACTTAACGACAACATTTTTTGCAAATAAGATTTTGTTAATAATTCGTTTCTAGCGCCACCTGGTTGGTGAATTTTTTGTAAAACTCTTTCACTTCGCGTTGCCAAGTTTCTCAGGATAAACTGCGCCGCCTACTAACCCATCAGGATAGAACCGAATCGAGTTGGTATATACCCGGCCCCCATCTGTTCATTATTTTCCGCTTGTGCTGTACGGTGGATCTTAGGCAGGTGAGATGCATTATGGGTTGCCCTTATTGGCACCAGTGTTTTATTACTGTTCCACACCAAGGACGAAATTCTGCTGACTTTAAGTCAATTCAGCAGCTCGTCTGATCAAACCAAAGTTAGCGCAGATCTGAGAAACTTCAAAGGAACTAGGTGGGAAGTTACTGATAACATCTTTTTCAGTCTCTCCACACCAACAGTTAGCGAAGGTCAGTTCCACAAGTAAGCTAATTTATTGTCAAATAAACAAGACGAATTACACCAGGTCGTTTTCGGGAACACTCACAGCAGGGATATCAACCTGGAGACTCGAGAATAGCGTAAGTGGAAGATCGGGCCTGCAACTTAACCTCCGGTTTGAATAAGTCTGTGTACATTGTAACGTCCCCGTGCGACCCGATGAAGCGTGAAGAAAGGTTGGAAATCACATTCTATGATTCCTTCTCAAGGAACCCGAAACCATGATTGAGCTATATTAGTAGGCAGTTACGCATTCTTCAGTGGATTAGACCGGAATGACTAGTAACTAGAAGTATCTAAACGCAAAGGCCCTAACGGACTACAAGATTTTGAAAGTTTAATATTTATGCACAGCGGCAGTATACCAACAGAGCCCTTGACACCATGAAAACTCACGGCTTTAGCCGAAACCGCTTATATCAGAGGTCGCCTAGAAGAGGTTTACTTATCGAAAGCCTTCGAAACCGTTAGTTACTCAACGCTACCAGTGGACTGTGAGCTATTTCCCTATATTTCCTTATAAGAACCGACAAGCAAAGTTAAAAGTTATTTTTTGATATTCCTATCTCGATCCTCATCGTCGTTGCAAGCAGACTCAGACTGGGCCTAATCACCTTCGCTAGCATCTTATTAAATTGAAAAACCTCCGAAAGACTCTTTTAGAGAGATATTAGTTGCCTTCGGAATCTGTTTACTGTTTCTTCCTTGTTGTTTTGGTTAATTTTCGGAACGATCTCCATTTAGTAACGATCCAGCGTGCTGATGAAAAATAATTTAAATTAATTACAAACTAATTTCAATTGTAGTAATTAACAATATAACTAATTGGCACTTACGCCTCTATTCTGTTTCGCTGACAAATTCTTGTCGCAGTTTACGTAAAAATATTTAAAATTTGTCAGTAAAAAAAATGTGGTCACCAATACAGAATTGGGCTATTAGTTTCATTAATCAAGCCTAAATTGTAAGTTAAACGCGATTTATGGAAAAACACAAAACAATAGCAAAGGCAGAATATAATCGAATAACTACAGCTGCACATTACCCATTAATG